GAGAACAATGTGCAAGAAAACTAAAAATCATAAAAAATCATAAAAAATGGGGTTTGCTAGCCCCAAGGAGCTCTGTTAGCATAGTGCCTAAGGCACTTGACTGCTAACCAGAAGGCTGGTGGTTCAAACCCACCAGCCACTCCTCAGAAGGAAGATGGGGCAATCTACTTCCATAGTGATACTGTCTTGGAAACCCAAGGAGGGGTCGCTATGAGTTGGGTCCGACTCGACGGCACATAACAACAACAACAACAACAACAGCCCCAAGTTACCCTTCAGGTCTGGAACAAAACTCAGTCCTGTGGCTTCCAGCCAAACAATAGAAAGTCATATGGGGTGAACATTTACATTAGGTAGATATACTCCTTGGAGTGATCAATCATGGGAGAACAGAAGGGTAGTGTTTGCACAGGGAGATGGCTGGGGTGGGGGGAAGGGCATGGAGGAAAGGACACAGGGAAGAGGTAACTATGGGGAAGAAATGAGAAGAGAGCTGTTATATTGCGGGAAATTCCAGTCAACGTCATAAGACAAAATGTGTATGAACTGCTGTGTGGAAAATGAATTTGTTCTGTAAATTTTCACCCAAATCACAATAAAAATTAAAAAAAAAGAAAAAGAACTATGCTCCATAGGGTCTTCAATGGCTGACATTTGGACGGAGATTGATAAGTGTTTCTTTCAAGGTACATTTGGGTGAGTTAACTGTTTGCACTATCCAGAGAAGACCTTCTCTTTACCCTTCCACCCTGCAGGGGCCAAGTGGCCAGGAAATGCACCCAGGTTCTCAATTCATTTTGCAAACAAGCCCTAAGGCTCCAGTTTTTATGGTTTACCTCATCACTTTGGGATATTTTCATCATACCCAAATTGACAATTATAGGATAATGCAAAAAGCTGGTGTGAGTGCAAGTGCTCTGAGCTCTCTGGAGGAAGCCTCCCCCACCTTCCTGTGTGCCTGAACCCATAGTGTTGCCATGTCTTCTTCCTACCTTCCTTATTGGACCCAAGTCCCATGATGGCAGGAATCCAGCATTCTGAGTGGGAGCTGCCATGCTTAGGGCATGGGCTACAACACTGATATACATTATTGTATTCAAAACTGACAGGTGCCATCACATCCCTAGCAGAGACTGGAGGCTGAGGTCATCAATGAACAGAGAACTGTGCCCAATGCTAAATGAGGCTTTGAAGCACCAGGAACAGGTTCTTGCCCCTCAGGAGGGGGTGGGGAGCCCCTCCCCCATTTGAAAGCACAAGGAGATCTGGAAGAACTCAATTTACACCCTTGGCTCCTGAGGGCTGGGGGATCAGCAGAGGGCAGGATAATCCCAGCTTCTTGAGCAGATGGTTTCTGACTAAAGCTTGACCCAGTTCCCTCCCAGCAGATGACCAGCAGCCAGGCTGGCAGCCCCTCCACCAGGGGAGCAGAGTGCAGACCCTCCTGTCAACTTCCCTTTCCCTTCTCACACCAGTGAAGATGTGGTGGCTTTTACCTTTCTCCAGCTCAGAGGGTCAATGGGCAGGATGCTGCATTTTTCTCAAGGCTTGGGGTCCTTCCCCATGCCCCTCCCCTCCCCAAACCCCATCCAGCCCAGGTGGGTCTGGCAGTGAGAAGAGCTGGAGCTGGGCAGGCCAAGAACACTACTGTGAGAGCTTGTGCTGGGAAGTGGGGGCTGTTAAATCCTTTGCTGGCTTAATTATTTCTCTCACTCATTCAATCAATCATTCATTCACTAAGCTCCCCCTGAACGCTGCCAGGTCTGGCACCAGACTTGACCAATAAGGCCTGGTCCCTGTCCTCCAGGAGCTCAAGAGACGGGTGACAAAATAGCAGCTGAGGCCTCATAAGGCGGATAACTATTGAGGGCACAAGGGTGTGTGTGTGTGTGGGGGGGGGGAGGGCGGAGGCTTCATCAAGGAGGGGAGATTGGGCTGGGCCTTGAAGGGTAAGGTTGCCAAGTGGTTGGAGGCTGTGGTAGTGGACAGCCAGAGGACTAGAGCATAACTGGGTGGTGGGAAGATTTGAGAAAAAGCATGGAAGTGGGCCCCGTTGGGCTCAGGTCCCACATTGCAGGGGGCAGAAGCAACTCCTTCCTGCCTGTGGATCACTGGTTCCAGGACAAGGCACAATGTGGAAACCAAAGAGGACAGAGTGGTGTGTGTTTGGGATGGAAGCTCTGGAGATAGCTCTAAGGAAGTACGAAGAGCTTCTATCTCAAGGGCCCTCTAGGGCCTTTGATTCTGACTTTGGTTGGCAAATCCAGACAGGCTCCGGTTTTGCCCTCCAGAGTGGCCAGAGCACCTTTGAGTCGGTTCCTCCGACTGGGAGGGAGGGGGCGCTCGACCTCCAGACTTGCGGGTCTTGTCTAGGCTAAGGTCCCAGGCCGAGCTCGGCCGGCGGCTTTCCAGAGAGGCTCAGGACAAGGGAGGAGGATGGGGGAAGAGGGCCTCGACCTGGAGGCCACTAGCGGCCTGGGTCCTTCCTGTTTCACAAATATTCTAGGAAAGCGAGAATGACCTCCTACTCAGCCCCTGCCTTGCAGTCAGGGCTGTTTCAGGATGCGGCCTTAGTGAGTGGGTGAGGTCCCTGAGCAAGAGATGGGGGGTAGGAGCGAGTTTCTAGCCCTGAACACTGCACCCAGTGGACATTGTCCTATGGTCTCTTCACACCACCAGAACCAGGTGGTGGTGTAAGGAGGGGCACAAGGGACTGGATTGCACTTGGGGTTCTATACAGGGCTGGTAGTCAGGTTTCCAGCCAGCAGCTCGAGGTCAGTCTGGCAAGGTTGTTGGCGGTGGTACCTCAGAGTCTGGAACGCTGTCTTACTGCTTAGTGTTTGGCCCAACTGCTTTGTTTGGGCCTCCCATCCCCCCAGTGCAGTATAGGTGTCCACTTTTACAGATGAGAGGATAGATACTAGAAAGGGTAAGGACTCTACTCAAGGGCACTCCTACAAAGCAGGCAATGGCAGGGCCCAGGCTGGAACAGAGATTTGTCTGAGGCCAAGGTTTGTCAGTGGGGTTTGTGTGTGCGGGAGATCCCATCAGCCCAACAAGCTCGGGAGCTCAGAAGTCACCGGCCCGCAAGCCTGGGTAAACGTGCAATCCCGGAGTTCCCCCGGGGCCCAGGACCCTGCAGGAGCACACCAGGCCTCCAGCGGCTGCCCCCTCTCCCGCCCCTTCAGGCGCTGGGCCCACGCTTTGCCCAGTGCGCCAGCAACCGCCGGGAGGCCCCGGGCGTTGGGTGAGGGCACTGCAGCCCAGGAGCGGCGTTCGCCAGCGGAGCTCGCTCGTGCCGCCGGAGGCCGTGCCGCCACCCCCGCCCTGACAACCCCGCGACGGAGCGCTCTGGAGGGCCGGGGCAGCCGCGGGGCGGGGGTAGTGTCTCTCAGTCGGTCGCGGAGGTGCCTGGGGCTGGGGGGAGGGCCTGTGCGGCTGCGGGGAGGGGCCGCTACGACCACGGGCGAGCGTTTGCATCCTCTGCCCGGAGCCCGTCGGTGCAGCCAACCGCCTAGCTGGGCGAGGGTCTAGAGCGCCCACGTGGTGGGAAAGTTTCGGGGCAGCAAAAGTGGCTCGGCATTGGGGGGGGGAGTCGAGGGCCGGTTTGCCCCTCCTTCCCACAAGGCAGAAAGGAAAAGAGCGGAGGGGAGAGGGGGTGGGGCGGGGGGAGCAGGCGCACCGACCAGAAAAGATTCCGCCCCTCCTCCCCCTAGCCGAGCGGGAGGCGCGGACCGTCTCCTCCCGCACGGTCAGGACTAGCCTCGCTCCCCCCGCCCTTTTCTCCCCCTGCCAACGTCTATCTCAACGCGAGCGCACATACGGAGATTGTATGGCTTTCCCCCCCCCCCAGGGAGAAAAAACGGGGAGAGTAAAAGAAGAGAGGGCAAAGAGAAGAACTCCTTCTCCGCGGGCTCTGCACTCCCGGGCCGCGGCCGGACGCGGGGACGCGGCGCCACCCGCCCGCTCTCTATCGGCTCTGCGGCGTGTGCCGGTGTGAGCGCGAGCGAGGCCACCGCACCCGGGGACGTTGCTAGACTTTTCGGCGCTCGAGCTGACCTCGCCGCTGCCGCCGCGGGAGAACGAAGGAGCGAGCGAGAAGAGCCTGGCTTCGCCTCGCCTTTCTCGCCCGGCGCCCCGCGCCCGGTCGCCCCGCGCAGGCAGGCGGAGGAAGGAGGGAGGCCGAAAGGAGGCGGGCGGAGCAGAGGCCCCGGCGAAGCGCGCAGTGGCCCGCCCGCCCGCGGATGCGGCGCCCCGGGAGCCTGGAGACAACTTTGCCGTGTGACGCGCCGGGAGGACTGCAGGGCCCGCGGCCGGGGGCTCGGCGCCGCCTCTGAGCGGGCCCGTGCGGCCGACGCTCCCTGGCGCTCCTGGCGCTGCGCTCGCTCCGCCGCCCTTTCGCCAACCCGCCGTGAGGACGATCCGCCCGCTACCGCCACTGGCCATTCCTCGGCGCGAGGCGGCAAGGGCAAGGCGCTCAGGTGCGAGTACGGGGCCCCGCCGCAGCGCCCGCCGCAGCGCCGCGCCAAGCCACGCCCGGGCTCCGCTCCGGGGGCTCCGGCTTTTTCGCCTTTCGTCTCTGCCAAGTTGCCTCGGCCGGCCCTTTGGCCACCTTCTCCGCCCCGCAGCTGAGAAGCCGCTGCTGCCTCTTTCACTACACCAGAGCGGGGGCTGCGGGGCCCCGACGCGGAGGATGGGGAGAAGGCTGCAGATGCCGAGGCGCCTTGAGACGCCCGTGCGGCAGTGACCCGCCGGCCCCCGCGGCCCTTCCGCTGCCGCCTTGACCGGCGCGCCTCTTCAGTCCCTAGGCCCTCGTCGCCCCTTGCCCACCGCGCGGAAGTCCCAGTGGCCCGGGAGGCCCCCTCCCCCTGAGAGCCGGCGGCGGCTCTCCCGGCGGGCAGGCGGGCGGAGGCGGGGCGGGGCGGCGCGCCCTGAGCCCGGAGCCCGGCCCTGCGCTCGACTCGCCTCGCGGCGGGCGCCTTCGTCGCCAGCGGCGCACCATGGACGGGTTGCCCGGTCGGGCGCTGGGGGCCGCCTGCCTTCTGCTACTGGCAGCCGGCTGGCTGGGGCCCGAGGCCTGGGGTTCGCCCACGCCCCCGCCGTCGCCTGCCGCGCCGCCACCGCCCGGAGCACCAGGCGGCCCGCAGGACACCTGCACGTCGTGCGGCGGTTTCCGGAGGCCAGAGGAGCCAGGTCGGGTGGACGGCGATTTCCTGGAGGCGGTGAAGCGGCACATCTTGAGTCGCCTGCAGATGCGGGGCCGGCCCAACATCACGCACGCGGTCCCGAAGGCCGCCATGGTCACGGCCCTGCGCAAGCTGCACGCGGGCAAGGTCCGCGAGGACGGGCGCGTGGAGATTCCGCATCTCGACGGTCACGCCAGCTCAGCCCCCGACGGCCAGGAGCGCGTGTCGGAGATCATAAGCTTCGCCGAAACAGGTGGGTTCGGCTCGTGCCCCCCACCCTGGCCCCTTTGCCAGCGTGGGCTGCCGCTACCGATGCCTGCGCACCCAAGGGGCAACCCGTACTTCTGGCCCGGCCCGCTCGGCTGTGCCCCTGTGCGCCCTGTCCCGCTTGCCATCCACTTCTCCTAGGTCTCAGACCCCTTTGTGCCCCCTGTCTTCGAGCGCCCTTTTTTCCTTCCTGGCTCTCGGGAATCTGGCCCCAGCGCCTCGGCGCTGGTCCCCCTCACGGCAGATGCGTGCGGCCCTTGCTCCGCGGGCACTTGCTTGGTGATTGCTTAATGTTTTTGTTTTTCACGAACGGAGTGTAGGCTTAGCAAAGTGAATGTAGATGTGTGTATTTGTTGATGTACATGGACCGGAGGAGTATGTGTGTGTATGTGTGTGCGTGCGTGCCTGCGTGAGAGGCCCCCGGGGCTGCTTCCATCGCCCAGTGGCGTGGGCTTGCTAGGATTGCTGAAGCCTCTCTGGAAAGAGCTAGGCAACCTCTCTTCCGATTGTGTGGGCACCGGAATCAGGCGGAAGGCAGGCTTCTCAACAGGTTCCATCATTTACACAGAGAAAGACGCGGATCAGGGGCAGCCCGGTGCCTCTAGGCCTGCTGACAGCGGCAGGAACCATCTCGCCTGAGAGCCTCTGAGTTCGTAGTTAACAAAGGGTTGGAGTCCTTTCCGGAATTTCCCCCGTCACCAGATTGTGAATCTTTACCACTGTCTAAATACAAAAATCAGGGAGAAAAAAAATCTTTGAGAACTTTAAAAGAAAAAGGAAAGTGTGCCCCATTGGAAATGCTGCAAGTGCTTTCCACTCCGCTGTCCTTTTCAGGACTTGAATGAGCCAGGCTGGCTTTTGTGCCTCGAGCTCAGCTCCATTTGTGCGTAGGGACTACAGAGAAGGTCTTAGAAGGGGAAGCCCCTGTGCAGGCAGGGGGTAGGGACAGAGAAGCCTTGGTGTGTTGGGGGAAGGTTTAGGTCCTTGGCTGTGAGTGCCCCCCAACCCCCCCAACCCCCCAGGCAGCAGGCAGACGGTGCTTGAGCCTCCTGGGGATGAAAAGGGATGAAAAGTTTTGCATGGCCGGGTGTGGAGAAAAGCAGAGACAATCAGGGGTTGATTTGTGCTAAGAAAGAAATGCACTGCCGTTTTAGCTGTCCGCTGGAGTCAGGGGAAGCTCGACATGCATTTAGAGGGCTCGGATGAAAAAGGTACTTTGGGGGCTGGGGTAGAAATGTGATTCTGGAAGGTCTAGGAGGGCCTTTTGGTCCCAATGGCACAAAATGACAGCGGGGGCTGTTATATTTCTGGTCTGTTTCGCGGAGCCAGCTCTTTGACTTATAAATAACAGATTCAGGTCACAGGCAGCTCGTCCAAGACCAGCTTTTAAGGCAGCCGTTTCCCCCATTTCAAAGTCAGATGTCCATGTTATTAGGGGAGCCAGTCGAGGCCTGAGGAGGGGGCTGGGCAGGCAGTAGTGGGAGGTTTGATAAAACTAACTCTGGCCACATAGTCACCTTATTTGTCCTTCTTGCAGAAAAGAAAGAAAAAAATAGATTGTCAGAGGGAAGGGTCACTGGAATGTAATGTAGGATGAGAGAGGAGTCAGCTATGGGTTGGCACAACCTTTCTCCTGTTGAACTGAATCATTGAGAAAACTAACAAGCCAACCTCCCTTTTCCTTGGCGATTTCAAATGTGCCATGAATGAAGAGCCAGGGTCTGGTAAAAGGATTGAACCTTAAATTTCAAGACTATATGCCCTGATCCTTGGAGAACTACCCAAAAGTGAGGGTTGCACTTTGCAGCCTGCAGAGCCCATGTTCCAGTGTCAGAAACCTGAGCAGAGCTTGCTTGTTTGCAGTGGAGGTTTTGCTGGGGGTTGGATCAGATCATGCTTAGGTAAACACTGCAAAGAGGCAGTAGGTAGCTCAGCTTGATTTTGCAATGCCCTAAGTTAACTTAAAAAAAAAAAAAGCCTCCTGAAACAACCCACCCCAAAATCATCAGCACAGTCCTGGGTTTGTTTTTCAGATTTCACAGATACCCATAACAACTTGTTAAGATCTTGGCCTCCTGACAAGTTCCGCTGTTGATCTTTGAGGCCTGACAGCCTTTCTGTAGGGGCCCTGGCCTGGGAGAGGTAAGGCAAGATTTTATAGGCCTGGACCCTCCTGCTTCAACCTGATCAGGATTTCTCAATGGGAAATAATTTTCTCTGCCTCTCCCAGGTTACAGTCAGTCCTGGCCCCAGGAATGGCGTTTTGGTCAATAACGTTTTCCAGCTGTGTGGAGAGTCTGCATTCCAGCATCATGCAGTTGAGAATCCATTTCCTCCATTCCCTCTTGTTCTCCTTGAATTAACTTGGCCTGCTCTCTCCTTCTTCACAGATGGCCTCGCCTCCTCCCGGGTCCGCCTGTACTTCTTCATCTCCAATGAGGGCAACCAGAACCTGTTTGTGGTCCAGGCCAGCCTGTGGTTGTACCTGAAACTGCTGCCCTACGTCCTGGAGAAGGGCAACCGGCGGAAGGTGCGGGTCAAAGTGTACTTCCAGGAACAGGGTCACGGTGACAGGTGGAACATGGTGGAGAAGAAGGTGGACCTCAAGCGCAGTGGCTGGCACACCTTCCCACTCACCGAGGCCATCCAGGCCCTGTTTGAGCGGGGTGAGCGGAGGCTCAGCCTGGACGTGCAGTGTGAAGGTTGCCAGGAGCTGGCCGTGGTGCCAGTGTTTGTAGATCCCAGTGAGGAGTCCCACAGGCCCTTCGTGGTGGTGCAGGCACGTCTGGGTGACAGCAGACACCGCATCCGCAAGCGGGGCCTGGAGTGTGATGGTCGTACTAACCTCTGTTGCAGGCAACAGTTCTACATTGACTTCCGCGTCATCGGGTGGAATGACTGGATCATCGCACCCACTGGCTACTATGGTAACTACTGTGAGGGCAGCTGCCCAGCCTACCTGGCGGGAGTCCCTGGCTCCGCCTCCTCTTTCCACACAGCAGTGGTGAATCAGTACCGTATGCGAGGCCTGAACCCAGGCATGGTAAACTCCTGCTGCATCCCCACCAAGCTCAGCACCATGTCCATGCTCTACTTTGATGATGAGTACAACATCGTGAAGCGGGATGTGCCCAACATGATTGTGGAGGAGTGTGGCTGTGCCTGATGGCCAGCAAAGGTGTAGAGGACAGTCCCCGGTGGGCTTCTCCCAGCCCCTCTGGGAACAGGGGTGCATGGTGGGCTGAATGCAGTCCTCCCATTGGGCTGCGGAGATGGTGCCAGGGTGAAGCCTGACATATTTTTCTACTGCATAGAACAACCAGTCAAAAGCAGAGTGAGAACCCTCAATGGACATGGACATTAAAATGCACATGTAACACGCACAGCCAGACGCATCCTGCCACCCACACAGCAGCCACCAGGATGCCAGCAAGTGGATGTGGTGACAAATGGCAGCTCAGCTACAAATGCCTGTCAGTCTGAGAGAATGGGGTGAACAGCCACCATCCCCACCAGCTGGCCTGGCCACTCTGAATCACGCCTTCCCAGCACACATAAAAGCACAAAGGCAGAGACAGAGAGAGAGAGAGTGCGTGAGACAGAGAGCCACAGAGAGGAAAAGCCAGTGCGGGGGCAGGGAGTGTGTGGGCAGGCAGAGTGATGCGTGTCCCCCATTGCTTGTACAAGGCCTTCTCTGCCTCTCCTGCTTGAGGTCCTTTGTGCTGTAAGACCAAGGAGCCTTGTAAAGGGGGAAGAGGGTTAGAAAGGACCCACCTGCTGGGGACCACAGAGCAGGGGTAGTGACCATTGGACTATTGGTCACTTGGGTCCCTAACATGACTTAATGTGTTTGTTTTTGGGATGGGGAGGGGAAGAGAGAAGAAGGGTTTTAATTTGATGCTTTAACTGATCACTAGCAGTTGACAGATCATTGTGCCAGTTGTATAATGGAAAAGGGGCTTTTCTACCAGGTATGACCTTTAAGTTAAAAATCTAATTGTTCTAAATGGAAAAAAGAAAAAAAAGTTGCAATTTGTGTCCTTCACTGGGGACATCTAGGACTGGTTGGGAAGGGTGGGAATGACCCCTAGGCAAGGGGATGAGCCCAGGAGAGGAAATGGTGGTGTGGAAGCATTCTGGAAATGCTTGGGTGCCCCCCAGCAGGGAGCAGGGGAAGGGAGCAGCTTAGCTGGCCTTTGAGAGGCGGGGAAGGCTTTCAGCCACTTTGCAGAAGTTGCCAAGGTAGCCCCACCCGCTCACCCACCCGCCTGCCTGTCCCACGTAGCACTTGCAGACCTGGCTGAATGCACATGATATAGCACTTGCCGATCTCCATGTGTCCAGAAGTGGCCCTTGGCAGAGCACGAAACTTGCTCACCCTCTAGATATCCAAGTGCCACGTGAACTATGCAATTTAAAGGGTTGACCCACAGTAGATGAAACTGGACTCGTACGACTCTTTTTATATTTTTTTATACTTGAAATGAAATCTTTTGCTTCTTTTTTAAGCGAATGATTGCTTTTAATGTTTGCACTGATTTAGTTGCATGATTAGTCAGAAACTGCCATTTGAAAAAAGAAGTTATTTTTATAGCAGCAAAAAATGAATACAGTTAAATGTATTATACATAATTTTGGAACCAAAGAGGCCAACAGATCAGTTTTAATTTTTATTAGATGGTGAGGCCATCTTCTGTGATGTAGATGTTCTGAACAATCCCTTGAGTGGCCTGCCAGCATTTCAGGGTATAAATGGATTTTGTTTATTCAGTTTTATGTGTCTTTTCTATCCTTACACACCTAGAAGGTAGAGTGAAAGTGACAATGGTAGATTACAGGTGTGTATCCTTAAATCTCCAACTTTATGTTTATTTAATAAAGCTCCTGTTAGGTTCTGTTTCATAATAATTTAAAACCAAACACTTTTCCCGGTAGACTTGCTGTTAAAATATTTTATGTCTGTGTACAGTTTAAGAAAATAAAGATGGAGTGCCACAGCCTTCTCGCCTTGTGTGATATCTGGGGGCAGCCAGGTCTGGGTAGGAAGTGGGCGGCTGGGAGGAGGGTGAGTCCAGGTGCCAGGCTTTGGCACCAGGCAGTCTCCGAAGCTTGCTCCTGGCACTCTGTCTGAGTCCTTGCCACGAGCACGTATGTCAGTCAGAGATTCGAGGAAAAATGGCAGGAGATCAAAATGAAGGACAATTAGCAAATTCATGAATTACACATTTGTTTACCCTTCTATTCCCAAGACTAATTATGTTTCACCAAGGCCTCATACATTACCATTTGAAAGTGCTGGTTAAGCCCCATCCGTAGAAGGGGAGGTAAAACCTGGGAGATTGCAGCTCACCTGAAGAAGTGCATACTTACCTCCATTTGCTAATAGAGACCGCAATCCAGAAGTGTTTTCAGAAAGGGCTATGAGTGTATTGATCTTGCCTCTGTTTTTTTTTCTTTTTCTTTGGGTGGTGGTGGGGGGAGGTTGGTGGTGGTTCAGTGATAGAATTCTTGCCTTCCATGTGGGAGAGCTGGGTTCGATTCCCAGCCAATATACCTCATGCACAAGCACCACTTGTCTATCTGTGGAGCCTTGTGTGTTGCTATAATGAACAGGTTTCAGTGGAGCTTCCAGAAAAAGACAGATTAGGAAGAAAGGGCTGATGATCTACTTCCAAAAGTTAGCCAGCAAAAACCCTGTGGATCACAGTGTTCCATATGGATCTGGAACCGATCATGAATGGTGCAGGACCAGGCAGCATTTTGTTCCATGTGCATGGGGTTACCAGGAGTCAGGAGGCCAACTCCATGGCATCTAACAACAACAACTGGGGGTTTTAACTGATGTTAGGTGGTGGCTGTGGTGTTAGCAGTGAAGACAATCCAACTCCAACTGTAAATGTGACTTATATACCAATTAAGTGCTGCTAACAGCCTTTACATGAAGCCTTTGTGGGAAGTGGTTTCCTAGAGTTTAAAATCTGAAGCTCAGAAAGGTTTGGGGTCTGCCTGAGGTCATACATCCAGGACAAGGAGCCTGGCCATTTGAGCCCAGTTGTCATAGCTGGTCTATCTGTCCCCCTTGGATGACTGAAGTCCTCAAGTTATGCTGTCCTCTGGGGGCCCTGCAGGGCCAATGGGGATGTTCTCTGGGGTTTGGGACATGTGTAATGTTTCCAGAGAACTGCAGCACATTTGAGCAGATGGGACCATGGAGATATCTAATCCCATGAAGACAGCAATGGGGAGACTGAGTGAGGCCCAGGAAACTGAAGGGGGGTATTTTAGTTCATACAGCCAGCTGGTAATGGGACTGACCTTCCAGCCTCTGTCTTTTTCCAAAACAAGAATTCACAGGTCTGCGAGGCTTTTGGGTGGATTTCTTGATCTGCAAAGTAGAGACAGTATAAAAATCTAAGCAAACAGGAGGATTTCACAAATGCAGGCCTGCTCTGGGCATTCCAGGGTATAGATCACACTTTTAACTGCCCCACTGCTCTGCGGTGGGCTTGCCCTAGTCGCTGGTTGCTCTGGGCCCTCAACTGAGCCCCCTGTGTCACCCCGGCCCAAGGTTTTTGCAGGTAGCTACCAGGTGGGGCAGCATAAAGTTACCATGCTGTTTGGACGTTGAACACCTGTGAGGCTGAGCTTTACAGAATGGTCCCTTGGGTGCCTGTAGTGCCCATAGGAGCAGCCTAGGGCTCCCAGGTCATGCAGCCAGTGGGGCAGCAGATGTCTTGGAGTGGCTCTCTGCTGCCCCATCCTGGCATGTGTCCTGTGGGTCCTGGTATGCCTTGGATCAAGGTGTGTACCAGTGCCCATTTCTGGGGGGTGCAGTGTGTATGGGCATATGCTCCTTGTCTGGAGCTGAGCCTTCTCCTTCTAGTAGTGCTGTGCATCTTCCTGTGCTTCCTGGGGTCACTGGCTTCTCTTTCCCTTCTGTTATTACTCAGTCCTCCTTTTCACCCTCTTCCTGCTTTCCCACTCTCTCACCTTATCTTCCCAGTGAGCTTGGCCTCAGGGACCCCTCTCCCTGCAGCTGCACCCAGACCCCACACGGCCAGGCCCAGGAGCAGGCATCCTGCACTGCCCACAGGCCTAATACCTCTGGCTGAAATCTTCCTGCTAGACTTCAAGATCCTTCTCTCTCTCTCTCTCTCCCTCTGGCTACTAGGCCTCTAATTTTCACTCCTAGCTCCATCTGAGACCAGTGGGACAAACAGGGCTAACAGAGCCAAAAGACCGCCACCTCCACTGGCCTCAAATGTCCCCATCCATCCCCCAGCTATTGTGATGCCTGAGGTCCCATCCTGTAGGATGCATCCCTTGACTGAATTTCAAAATGCCCTGACTTCTCAGGGACTCAGTGATTCCAAGGCCTGTGTGTGGGAGGGAGTGTGTTAGCTCTCTTTCCCCACCCCTAGAATGGGGTGTTCAGGTACTGAGGTAAGAAGAGCCCCTGTGCAAACAAGGTCAGGTGCCCCTACCTAGTCCTTCCCGTTCCTGAGACAATCAGACTCAGGCTCCAGCACTCAGAGGCTCCAGCGGGTCCTGTGTCTGTTTCCTAACCCCGCTTCTGAGCCTGCCTGAGGCCTGGCTCAGAAGGGGGGCACACAACAGCTCCCCTGCAGCCCAGCCAGGGGAAGCAGCCATATAAGAGGGGCTACTATGTATCAGAGCTTTTATGTCTGCTACCTGTTGTATATGGTGACATCATTATTGTCTGGTGCAGGGGCCCAGGGCACTAGGTCCCATCGCTGGCGCTTGCCAGGATCATGTATCATAGCTCCAGGTGAGGGTCTGGGAAAAGATCTGGGCAGGGCTTGCAGGGATCGTAGGCCCTTGAGCCATGGTCAGGCCTTTGACCCAGGTAGAACTCTGGCCAGCCCAGCACCACCTCTGAAAGGCTGGGACAAAGGGGATGAGGGAAGGAAGTGCAGCCCAGAAGTAGGAGCATTTCAAAAGCACCATCAAGTCAGTTGTTCAGTCATTCAATAAACATCTCTTGAGTGTCTGCTGTTAAGTGCTGCAAGTTCACACATCACCTCACAGCCAACCTTACAACACCTGGAGTGGGGCAGAATAGGTATCATCACCCCATTTTATAGATGAGAAAACTAAGGGTGAGAGCAAGGGAATCATTCACTGAAGGTTGCACAGCTCACAAGT